GGCGCAGGCACATGCAGGGCTTGCATGCACAAGCTCGCACACACATGCATGTGCACCTATATGCACCCATGCTCCTGCACCCATGCGCACACGCATGGCACCTACGTGCACCCTGCCTGCACGTACGGCCGCAGCAGCAGCTCTGCAGCAGCCCTGGCACAGGCACATGCAGGGCTTGCATGCACAAGCTCGCACACACATGCATGTGCACCTATACGCACCCACGCTCCTGCACCCATGCGCACACGCATGGCACCTACGTGCACCCTGCCTGCACGTACCGCTCACTTCAGGGAGAGCCCCTGAGCCCCCCACCTGGCATCGCGGGGTGAAGCAGGATAGGGAAGGGGAGGCTGGTGCCGGGCACGGCGCCCTGGCGACTGCCTTAATTGTTTGACACTGGTTAAAATGCTCCCTCTGGCTCTGCTAGCTCATCGCTCGCAAACATTTTTGCTGCCAGTTGGATGAGCTTATGACTCATGCGACCTTTCCAATAAGCCCTATGGCATATCCACCTCTTAAACTAATAACTTGGTAGGGGTTACGTGCAAAAGGCAGGCAGCTGATTTACCTGATAGCGCGTACGTCCCCGCTTGCCATCAGTGTGCACGTACATATGTGCAAGTGGCAGGTATTTCCTGATGCAAACATCAGGCTCCGAGAAGTCAGGACACGTGAGAGCCAAGCAGCTGCCTCAGCCCCGAATTTCATATTCATCTTTGCAACAACGGCTGCTGCTTTCACCCCCGGATGGAGGACAAAAGCACCCACTGATTGGGAGACCAGTGGAGAGTCATATTTATGTGTCTATATATTGATATCTATGTGTATAATACATGTGTGTTTGGGGAGGGGGCAAAGCTGCCGGTTCCTGCGAGTGCTGGGGGGCCATGCAGGCTTTCGGGTGGCGGATCCGGCTGCTGCTCCGGGTGGCGGGTGCTGCAGGTGGGATGCGGGGCTGGGGCTGTGCAGGGGGCTGCGGGCTGGGGCTGCGCAGGGGGCTGCAGCCTCCCCTGGGTATTTGAGCGCTGCATGGGGGTGTCTGCAGCGCCTGTGCCACCCCTGTGGTCCCGGCGGGACGGGCGGCACCAGAGCCCCCGGCCGGGCCGTGCTGGGGCTCCGTGCCGGGAGCCCAGGTCCCGCCTGGACCCTGCAGGGATGCGGGCTCACGCTGCTGGTCATGCCATGCCGGCAGCTCCCGGCACCTCCGTAATCAGGTTTTTCCAGCTGCTCCGCTGGAGACTCCAACTTCGGAATTCATTAACTTCACTGCCGAAAGCTGAGTCATTTGTCACTATGGTTTTGTCATTAGCTCCCATAATTAAGGGAGGTGTCACCAAAGCGAACGTTTCCTCTGCAGCAGCCACGATAACGGGCACTGAGAATTGTTTCAATGCACTGAGGATGCCGGGCTGAGCCAGGACCATCGGTCTCTGTGGGAAGGCACATGTGGAGCCCTGCGCCCTGGCATCGGGGCTGGGGACAGATTGGGTGCATGGGGGCCCCATCCATAGCAAAGGCCCCAGAGCCCCAGGCCTCCCAGGTGCCCCCCAGTCACCGAGTCACACTTGCAGGGTTTCTTTAAAATTATACATTTTATTTTCTCATACATGCAGCAAATAGATAAAGAGTATATGCCCATCTAAAAGGAGGTCTAGGAAGGAGAACCCTGGACAAACACAGAGCAGGTAGTCTAGGATGTAGAAAAGTCATCAAATACTTGCAGGTGAAATCAAATTCACAAACACAAACTGATCAACAATAAACATGTTCTTTTTTTTTTTTTTTTTCCACTTTGTTTTCGGTTGCCGGCTGGGACGTGGTCAGAGACAAACAGCTTGGACGACACTTCCATGCATGGAGCAGGATGCTGCAGCGCCGGGGAGCGCCCGTCCGTGGAGCTGCTCTGCGCCCGCTCCCTATCCCGGGAGCTGCTCCGCGCCTGGTCCCCATTCCCGCTGGCCTTCCTGGTTGCCGCCGAGCTTCCCACCGGGGGTCTGCCCCATGCAAGCTCCCTGGATTTGTTGGAGAGGTTGCGAGGGTGAAGGACCGTGCAGGACAGCTCCCTTGTCCAGCCGGGCAACGGTGGCAGCGGCAGCAGGTCACACTGGCCACGTGCCCAGGGCGGCACAGCCATGCGGGGCAGCCGCGAGGCTGCGGATGGACCAGGAGTTGCAAGAAGGCCCAGGCCAGCGATGCCACCTGGGCACAGCGGGGACACGCGGCAGGGACATGAGCGCCGAGGGCTCTGCCACCCAGATCCCGCGTCCACCCTGCGGAGCCGGTGGGGTTCGGAGGGAAGGTGCATCCTGGTGTGGCCGTGCTGGGTGCACGGTGGGCAGCGCCGCTCCTGCACCCGCACCGTGCCCTCAGTGCCAATGCTGTGCCGTGCCATCAGCGCCAACACCATGCCATCAGCACCAGCACTGTGCCGTGCCATCAGCGCCAACGCATCAGCGCCAACCCTGTGCCATGCCATCAGTGCCAACACCGTGCCCTCAGCGCCAACGCTGTGCTGTGCCATCAGTGCCATCACTGTGCCATGCCATCAGTGCCAACACAGTGCTGTGCCATCAGCGCCAACGCCGTGCCCTCAGCGCCAACACAGTGCCGTGCCATCAGTGCCAACACAGTGCTGTGCCCTCAGCGCCAACGCCGTGCCGTGCCCTCAGCACCAGCACTGTGCCATGCCATCAACACCAATGCCGTGCCCTCAGGGCCAACGCTGTGCTGTGCCATCAGTGCCAATGCCGTGCCGTGCCACCAGCGCCAACACTGTGCCACGCCATCAGCACCAACGCTGTGCCATGCCATCAGTGCCAACACCATGCTGTGCCCTCAGCGCGAACGCTGTGCCATGCCATCAGCACCCATGCCAGGCTGTTAGCACCCACCCTGTGCCATGCCATTAGCACCTGCACCACACTGTGCCATCAGCACCCATGCCACCAGCACCTATGCCATGCCACCAGCACCAACACCGTGCCACCAGCACTGTCACCGTGCCACCAGCACCCAGTGCTGTGCCATCAGCACCAGCTCCGTGCCGCCAGCGCTTGCACCAGCCATGCCATGTGCGCCTGCGCCACGCGGTGCCGTCACACCCACGCTGTGCCACGAGCACTGCAGCAGCCAGCAGCTCCCACGCTGTGCCCAGCCGTCCGCGCCCACGGGGGAAGGAAGCGGCATTTCCCCGCCGGGAGCTGCGTGTGACCAGGGTGCTCCTGCCCGTCCGCACCCACCGTCCTGCCCGCGGGCACCTCCTGCCCCGGCCTTTCTCCGGTGCCAGGGACGGAGCATCCCAGAGCCCCGCGCGGTGGCCAAATGGCAAAGGTTCCCTCGTGCGATGATGGCAAACGGAGCCGCTGGCACCTTGTCCTTCCTCGAGGG